TGGGTTAGGCAAATGCAGCCTGGGCCTCGCCGGGGCCGGCCGGGGCCACCGGCTCAAGGCTCGGCCTCTGTCCTTGGCCACCCCCGCCGCCGCCGTCGTCGCCGTCGCCTTCCAGACGTGATGCACGAGGGGCTCTCAAAGAAAGCGAGAAAGGGAAAAAGAATTCGCGCCGGGCTGTCCAACTTCGACGGTGCTCTCTCCGGGACTTTAAACGCGTTGACGCCGGTGAAACTTTTTTTTTGCCAAGTACCGCCTGTAGAACTTTCAATAACGCCTGCCGGGCCAGGCATCGGGCAGCGAGTCGAGTTGACAACGTCCGCCGCCTCACACGGGCTGCTGCGGCACGCACCGCCGTTGTCTAGGTGGCGTGATGATCGCTGGCGAGCGGGCCGCCGCGGGCGTGGCGATGGGGATGGGGGTACTGGGCGGGGACCACGAGGACCAGTCATGCCAGTGATTCGCGACTCACTTCTCTAAGCGACGCGAAACCGTTCCGCCACCATTCTCTCGCGCTCGCGTCCTCCTCCTCACCTCACTCTCTCTCTCGCTCTCCGTCCGTCACGCCTGGCTGACGCTGAAAAGAGTGTGCCAATTATCACAGTGAGTGGCCCTCTCCCTCCCCCGTGTGGGGGGCTGGGCTCGCGCCGGCTCACGCGTCGTTGGGTCCGTTGCTGCTCATCGCGCCCTATCGGGCCGCACGGTGTGGGCCGGGCGGCTCCACGTCAAGGGAAGGGGGGGACCACGGTTGTGAAAGAGGATCGCGTGGGGGGCCAAGTTGGCGGGGTGCATCCGAGCAACACGTCTCTTTGGCGCGCGCCTTCTGGGCCGACAAGCGTGTCAAAACAGCGGGTCGTCCTCTCCTGCCCCGTTCCTCTCCGCCCCGCCCCGCCAAGTTTGAAGACCAACGGCGACCGTGCCTGGGCGCGGCGGGGCGCAGCGCGCGGGGGCCCCAGCAGAGTGGCTGCCATCAGGACAGCCCCACCCGGCCCAGCCCGGCCCAGCAAGCCTGTCGGAGCGAGGAGGAGGAGGAACTTGTAAATCTGTCAAAGTCATCCGGTACACCGCACGGCGCCACTCCGCGCCGCCTCGCGCCGCCGCGCCTGGAGTTGTCTGGTCCGAGCCCCGCGCGCCGCCACTCCATCACCCTCGGGTCCTCCTCGGGCCGCTCCGGGGGCACCTAACAGCAGCTCTGCCCTCTGGCTGCAGCGAGCGTAGCTGTGCTCTGCCAATGGTCGGTGATGGTCGGCGTCCTCCACCCCCTCCACCTCCACTCCTCTCCGTGGTCGACAGCTGATCTCACCGCAGTGCCAGTTTGGCGGGTCCGTGATCTCCGCCCCCGCCCCCTCGCTATGCATACGGTAGCGGTATTGTCCGCGTTCCTCCGCCGGCCAGAGAATACATCGTACTCCAGCCCGTCCCTTACGAAGACATTCGGGCAGATAGCAGCTGGCATCCAACACAGTTGCACTGCCGCATGTATCTCGAAAGTCTCACATGCGATTCTGAGTGCCAGGTGTGTTACTGTGTTGTATCTAACGCACTAAATCTTAAAACACTGAGTCAGATCTACCTCCTCACAACAAACCGAATGTAGGCGTGGCGTGCTGGCTAGGCACCTCGTAGGGCGAAGCAGTAGACACAACCCGTAAGAGTCGAGGTCGGTAGTGTAACTGCGTGTAACTGCAATCGTGTCTTTTGCGTTTATTAAAAACACCTGAAAAGGACTCAAACCTTTTACTTCCCGAAAGCTTTTTGCCCTGCTGATAATACGCGTGAAATTTTCTCGGGGTAACAATGCCGTTGCTAACAGTAGTATTAATCCTTCCGCCCGCTCTGAATATACTTTCACCCTAACAATGGCGGGGGCTCCACTCCACACTTGGCCAGTGGGTCAGCCGCGAGCCCACCGCGGAGGGGAGGAGGGGCCACAGGGGGGATGCTTCCCCACGCTGTTGATGAGGCGCGACCGACGCGACCTGCCCCCGCGCCCGACGATAACGATGACAATCAGCACCGCGACCTCCCCTCCCCTCCTCTCCCTCTCTCCCTTTCTCTCCCGTCGCCCACAGTGGAGAGAGGACGGGCGGGGCGAGTTGCGGCGAGCGCGGTGGGGCGCGGGTGGGGGCTGCTCCGTGTTGTGTTAGGAGAAAGCGTTGAAAACGATGCCCGAGTGATGATCACTCTTGAGTCTCTACAGTCGGCGTCGGGTTATTGGGCGCGCGGTGCTCAACAGGCCTATTGAAAACTTGTATTGGGACAAAGTCTTGCTCCGTTAATTCGATGATGTGTTGCACTGATTTGTGTCAGCCACCGGGGGGTCTGCGACTCACACATAATCAAAAGTGTTCTAGCCCAATAATCACACACTCCTGGGCGTGATAACCTTCCAGGAAACTTCAGCCCGCTCCATGGCTTCATCGGGGCTGATACCCTGGCTGGCGCAGTGTCTGGAACGAAAGCCAAAGAGTGTTTGACTAACACGCTCGGTGCGATGGTGAATTCAGTGGATG